TCAACTCCTTAACTTACGATTTTATTTTATCAACATTGAATTAGATGAGTGCAATTATTTCACCAAATTAAATCCTACTACCTCTAAAACTACTCCACTACCTCACCTTTTAAACCGTCACTTTTCTTTCTCACTCCTCCCAATTAAACTCTTCTTCTTCTTTTCACTCCACCTTCACCTATCAAATCAATTAAACTCCCCATAAACTCCCATAACCAGCCTCACTCTCTCTCCTTCCTATTCACACTATTCATCTTCTCCTTCCCTTCATTTTACCTTCAACACCATGAAAACCAACCGAAACACCACCCCAAAAACCCGATCACCACCATCCAAACCCTCCTCAAACACGGGGTCTCCACAACCGGTGCCAATTGCGATGGTGCATCCATCTGCTCAGCCAAAGAGGAAGGCTAAGGTTGTGAAGGGCGGCGACAGGAAACGGCGCGCAACCACCAAATTCCCATCATGGAATTACACTCTCGGATATCACATCAACTATGATTGGTGTGTGGCGAGTAAGTTCACTGAATTTACTTCTTTAATTGATTATCAAAAATGGACTCACTTGTTCCAGAATTGTTCTCATTACCCTGTTTATCCTAAACTTATTTATGAGTTCAAAAATACCTTTCAATGTGATAATGGTGTGTGCTCGGCCGTATTTAATGATATTCCAATTTCGATTGATGCCAATTATCTTGGAAATCTATTTCAAGTTCCTGTTAAAGGCTATTGTTCTTATTTAAAGCACAAACAATCTGTAAATATTGGCCATAATGATGAATGCAAAATCCTTCAATTTATTGGAGGAAATCCGAAAGTGAAAACTACTCACCATCATGCCCTAACACCCCTTCATAAGCTACTGTTTACCTTCACCTGGAAGGGTATAGTACCCCGTTTACAAAAACGAAGTACCGTATCACTCTTGGATGCCTCCCTCATATTCTGTCTTGCATGCAAAATACAGATTAATTTCCCTGCTCTAATGATTGAACACTTGAATTCTTATGCTCAAAAGACCACAATTCCATATGGCTCTTTCCTTACTGTGTTGGTCAAATCTTTTGGTATTGATGTTGAATGTGAATCCCCAACATATCTCAAACCCGATAATATCCTCTCTGAACAATCATTACTTAGACTGAGTCTTAGGCTTACAAATGGCAAAGTATGTTTTGTGCCTCGGAAAGGAGGGGAGAAAAAGAAAGGGAAAGGGAAAGAAGCTGAGGAAGAATGTGATGCAAGTGATGAGGAGGGCAGTGACCAGGGTAGTGAGGTTGCTAGTGAGGGTGCTACCACCTCCAATGATTCTGAGGGAGATAAGGAAGAAGAAAAAAGTTCTAACGGAGAGAAAAACAAAGAAAAAATACTTGAGGGAGATGTGCAAGGAGAAAAACAGGAAGATTCTGAGGGGGAACATAAGGAAGTTTCTGAGGGGGAAGCTCGAAAATCTGACTCACATGAGGGGCAGGGAACTGATCAAAGTGAGGGGGAACATACCACAGACTCTGAGAGCACAGCTGGACCACCTGTCATTCCTGTGTTTACAGGGGGCCTTAGAAGAAGTAAGAGGAATGTGGTCAAGCCTGCCCTTTCTACTACACACCCTGTGACTGTAGAAACCATCAGCTCCTCAGACAAATCTGATCCCACCTTCAAACCTACCCAAGTTCCCTTTGCCATTGAACCCTCTTCTATTCCTGTCTCATCTACTAGGCAGCCTCCTCATTCACCTTCTCCTCCTCCATTTCAGCCTACTGGCTTTGCTGCTTTCTCTGGAACTCGTGTGTTTGTTTATGATTTTCAACAGGTTAAAGCAGATATGGAGAAGTTGACTACTCTGGTGAGCAAGAAACTGGAGGAAATGGCCTCGGAATTGCTTTCTCTTAAAGGCCAGGTGCAGGCTCTGGCAGAATCTCAAGCAACCGGATTTGCAGGCGTGGAGGCAAAGCTTGCACAGGCTGAAGGCAAGTTTAGTGAAGGCAACAAGGAGATCTTGGAAACTATCAACAAAGTAGCCTTTGAGGAAGTCGAGGAAGACTCTATTGATCCCACAAATCCAACCCTTGATCCTACCAATGCAGCCTCTTAAATCCTTGATTGCACTTATTCTAATTTCATATGTTGAACAATTTTATTTTGGTTTTGTTTAATCTCTCTGAACTTTGGTTTGTACGCCTTTATCCTTTGCTACATTCTCTATGTTCCTCTTCTATTTCCTAAATCGGAACTTGGCTCGTATTTTTCATATGATTGTGTGTGTTTGCTGATAATTTGGTACCTAACTTATTTTTGCCTTGCATTATTTGAGCTCACTATTCCCTACGTAGTCTAGTGGGAGTATAGCAAAATGTTTTTTTTCAATCTTTTGATAATGCCAAAAGGGGGAAAAGACAAACTTCATGGCGGCTAAAGTGTTTACCAAGGAACTCACACATCGAAGGTACAAACTTTTGCCAAGTTCAGTTTTTAAAGTCTTTGTTAATTTTTTCTTTTGCTCAGTTTTTTTTTTTTTTTTTTTTTTTTTTTTTTTTTAAAAAAAAAAAAAAAAAAAAAATACTTTTTAATATTTTTCTAAGTTCTTTAATTGTTTTTTTTGTTTTCATGCCTTACTCTAAATTTTTGTTGCATGCCTGGATGATTTTATTTACCTAAGTTTGTCAATGTTTGTCATCATCAAAAAGGGGGAATTTGTTGAGCCTTTTGGTTTTGATGGACAAATTGACAAACTCGACTAATGAATGTTTTGAGTCTTTGGTGAATAAAGGATTCAAGCAAAGTTCGTTCCGGAGTAGGAACTTGGATGCGGAGTAGCATTCTTTAAAAAGCCTCGTGCAAATCTCACGTTCTAGTTTTAATTGTGAGCACTCAATAATATAAAGTCGGAAAGGAACTCAATGACTTATGTTAAAGACTACTGGAATAAAAGTTAGTTTTAAAAGATAATTTCTTAAAGAAAAGATAATTTGTAAAAGTTTTAATAAAGATAATTATCGAAGATAATTATCTAGTTGTTTTAATAAATAATAAATTTATCTTTTCAAATAAAATCTTTTTAAACAAACTTTTGATAATCTTTTAAATAAATATTTGATAAAGTTAGCAAGTGGTTTTTCTGTGAGAAAATCTTTTATACGGCTAATGGTTATCAAGTTGTTAGGATAGTGGTTTAATTAGATAAGGCTAGGAAACCTCTTCATGATCACAATCTGTCAAGATAACTCCACAAGTTGTTAGTGGGTTGTTGACATGTGGACGTGATTATGGTGGAGGTTAATGACTAAGCCTTCTCTATAAATACTCATGCAAACTATCTCAGCAAAACAGAACTCTTAAGCATAAAAATTCCAGTAGCCATCTAATAACATAAAGAGAGTTATTTTCCTTCATATATTCTTGAGTGCAATAGGTATTTGTAATCACAGATTGTATACAAGTACTTTGGGGTTGGGATTGTGAGTTTGTAAGGTGAGGTTAAGGAAGCTTCGTTGCTGAAGTCTTCTGTGAGAGTTGGGAACAAGTTCCTAATTTGGGGAACTTGTTAACGGGTTTGAATCTTCACTTGTACAGAGTTTGATTACATAGTGGAAATTTAGAAAAGCCTATATCTTCTCTCGTCATTATTTCATTTAGTTAAATTCCGCAAAAAGTTTTTAGATTTCACCTCAAATACAATTCACCCCCCCTCTTGTATTAGCCAGTTAGACTTTCATTTGGGTACTGTTGTTTGCTTTGGTTCCATTTTTTGGCTTCTACACTATTGTTCTTCTGTTTGTTAGCTACTTATCTGTGCTTGGTTTGCCTTCTCACAAACAAGGTTGAACTTAGCTTAGGCAAGACTCTTTTCACTCAACATAGTTAAGCAAAACTTGGATCACAATGGGTTAGAGATAGGATATAATCAATATTATCGGAAAATATATGTGTATTGTGTAATATATTTTTCATATTGATATTATTAGGAGAATAATCTATTTATTTATTTATATTAAGATATTGTTATAATAAATTATGAACAAATAGTTGTAATTTGCCAAAAAAAATCTTATGTAAACCTGATTCATAATAATATTATGTTAAAATTAGGGTTATTATGTTCAACATAACGTCAATTATTGTATATAGTAATCTGTTTAGAACTCCTTATATGTTAACTAGTTTGTATATCTAAGTTCTATACAAATTCTTACATGTGTCTGTCACACTAAAGTAATTTCGGTATTTTTATTTGTCAATTTTTTTCTTATATTTGGTCATTAAGAGCTAAAATTACTCCAAAATCTTAACTAAGAAATTTTCTCAGATTGAGAATTGTGACACGTAAATCGAGGTGTTTCATAACACCTTCATTTCTGGAAATTATTTGTCATTTTGACCTCAGATTGGATTCTCAAGGGCCAAAAGACTAGACCTGGCAATCCTGACCCAAAATGGATGACCCAACCTTAATGACCCGATCCGTGACCCGAAACCTGAAATCTACCCAACCTGAAGTGGACTTGACCTAATCTTGACCCGATACCCGAAGTTGGTTCGACTATACCAGACCCGATCTTGACCCGACCCAAACGTGACCCGACATATGGACCCAAAAATTGACCCGACCCGAACTAACCCGACCCAAATTGACCCGACCTAACCCGATCATCTGTTGACCCAAACTGACCCAATTAACAGTTGACCCGAAATGACCCGACTCGTAACCGACCTAAATGACCCGATTGCCATGTGTACAAAAGACCCCAAAAACTTTAGCCAAGCAATGTTCTCGACATATAAATCAAGAAAGATTTAAAAAGAAAATGATTGGGCCCCACAAACGTCCTGACTGAACGAAACTATGAAATAGTGGTAAAATTAAAGATAAAAAATATTTTTAAAACGTGGTAAAATAAAAATTAAAAAAAAAAATAACTATGGTTGGTAAATACAGTACAAAATTTTGTTTTTAAGGTGGTATATTTATGATCAAAAATCCAAAATAACAAATTAAATGACCTAAAGAAATATTTATTAAATGCCCCAAGTTGAAAAAGCCTAAAATATATACAATGGTGATGTTTTGAACAAATTGAATATATAATCAAGTACACATAATACTGAACTCATTTCAGTTCTAAAATTTAGGAACCGATTTGACCGATTCAAGTTCTAGTTCCCTTTCCTAGATATTTGACCTGGTACTAGTTATGCTCACCCCCTTATACACACAACTAGGTAAGTACACACAATCACATCAAATGAAGTGCTCTTACAAGTGTAACAAGTTACAAATAATCAATAATAAAAATAGCTTGTTTATGGCTTGAACTTTTGAAGCTCTTATTTATACTGGTAATTCCAACACCAAATTCACATGTAATACTTTGTTCTTGTATATTTTCACTTAGCTTTCTCTACCCCAGTAATGGAGCCGGATGAATCGATCGATATCGAATCGTATCGTAAGAATAAGTGTGCCAAAAATAAGCATGCTGTTAGAGGAACATAATCTCTAGCTGCACATTGCTTATTACTTTCATCAGATTTCCCTGTTTGTGGACCATTAGACCAAAACAAATAGATCAACAATTCAGCACCCTTGTCACCCGTAAATCGATCAGGAACGAATGTTTCCGGGTCATCGAAGATCTTCGGATCCCTCATTACAATAGTTTGATACCCACATAGTAACTCACCCTTCTTAACCGCGAACCTTGTATCGTGTGTTTGTAACTCAAAATCCTTCCTAGCACGCCCAAACTGTAGTGGTACGGGTGGCTGAAATCGTAGTGTTTCGTACACGAATGATGCCACGTTAGGCATGTCTTGAACTGCAGTAAAGCTCAATAAGGAAGGGGAGCTACATTTTTCCCTTACTTCTTTTCTTAGGGTATCTTGAATTTCGCCGTTGTTTAACCCTAGATTGTTAACCAAGGCAGGTAAAAACCGCGAAAATCCTCCAAATGCATTAAACCCTATGATAAATAACAAGTTATGTATTGCTTCTTGTTCAGTCAACCCAAACTCCGTCTTGCCTCTTTGAATCACTTCTTGCGCTTCCTTAGACACGAAGCTTACGAGCTTGTTATAGTCCCCTTTAACCAAGAAAAAAGGGTATGTCCAAGAATGCAAGAAGATTTCTTCAAGAGGTTGGAATAAGTTTATGTTGACTATCGGAAGGAGTTGTATAGCAAGCCATTTATCAATCATAATATGGCCTGTTTCAGCGAATTCTGGTGAGTAGTTTGCAGGGTCGGCTCTAAGCATTCCTTGCGCAAGGAAGTTGAATAGGCACTTTTGTAAGGGGTTTAACACGTTGGCATTGCCATCTTTGGAGATCGATTTTTCGACCGTGTTCCACATGATTTCTAAGTTTGATAAGAGTGAAGACACCCATACTCCTGAGCTTTTCCTTAGAATGTCTGTTGTAAAGTTCTTAATCTGTTCACATAAACAAAATACATCAGCAACATGTAAGTAAATGTTTTAAATTTTTAGTAAATGGACTTTTAATGACTTTAACTAATACAGACTACGATACTTCACTACTTAAGGATACAAATACAATCATTTCTTTAATAGTTTCAGTTTATATGATGGCATCTTTAATAAGTTGTATCACGAGTTGAATAAATAAATTAAAAAAAGTGTCATAAAACAAATAAAAAGGGATGCATTAAATTATTTAAATAGTTTTTTTTAACGTATTTAAATATTTCTCGTATACGAGTAACATTTATATTGAAACTTAAATTAAAAATACGGAGTGGATAATAATAAATAAAAGTGGGTTAGAAAATTTATAAAAACGTATAGTATAGTTTAAGAGCTTGTGTTGTTCATCTTATTTTCACTTGTTTTGGATGTAATAAGTTCAGACAATTTTACATAAGTTCAATTTAGGAAAAAATAAGTTATGATAAGGATTATCTAAGTACAAATTACAATTAAAATAAATTTTATTAAGGTCTAATAAGCTCATATAAATTTAGATAAATTTAAGTAAATTCAAATAAAATAAAATAAGTTTAAATAAGTAAAAATGAAAATACATAAAACACACTTGAGAATATTATATTTGGGAAAACATGCAAATGCTATGCGACAGTAGAAGAGGCTACTGTACCTTTTTAGCTTTTCACTAAAGCATGATAATTGATAGTAACAAAACACAAGGGCCACATCCATAATGAAAAGTCAACCCTTTTTTTTGGAGCAACGTTCACCCTAACATTATTGGCCAAAATGGCCATACCAAAACATTTTGTATCACATGAAAAAAAACGTTACATGCACATTATGTATACTGCGAAATACTTACCACAATACAACGTTGATTTTTATTCAGCCAATGAGCAAATATGTGAGTGAAAGTGTTGTCCCACATAGAAAAAGTATGAAAGTATTGGAAAGTGTATCCACATTGAAGAAACAAGAAAGTTGTGTCCACTTTATAAGGCTAAGGGGCTACTCCTCTCATTATCATATGGTTTTGAGGTGGAACCTCCTTGGACTTATATAGTGGACACCTGTGACGGGTGTGGCCTAGACCCGTTTATCATGGTATCAGAGTCTAGATTGAGTTGTGTTGTGATGTGGACCAGTATTATGGACAATTCACATGTGAGAGGGAGTGTTGAGCCCATGAGCAAACCCATATGTGAGTAAAAGTGTTATCCCAAATTTATAAGGCAATGGGCTACTCCCCTCATTGCCACATGGTTTTGAGGTGGAAACTCCTTGAACTTGTATAGCGGGCACTTGCGACGAGTGTGGCCCAGACAATTCACATGTGAGGGGGAGTGTTGAGCCCATGAGCAAACTCATATGTGAGTAAAAGTGTTGTCCCAAATTTATAAGGCAATGGGCTACTCCCCTCATTGCTACATGATTTTGAGGTGGAAACTCCTTGGACTTATATAGCGGACACTTGTGAGGAGTGTGGCCCAGACTCGTTTATCAATTTTAAATTATAACGTTTGTAATTTTCGTTTTGTCGCACATTTTATCTCTATTATATAAGGGTATAAGCATGTAGTGTGCATTTAAAAAGACCTTAGTACCTTTCTAAGCTTATATGAGTACTATAATATTGAATAAAAAGGGCAAGATCATATTCTTCATTTATAATATTTTCATTTACAAATTAGTAATTATCTTATAAACTTTTAAAAATATATTCCTTTAAATCCAATTATTTCTCTCTTTTAGTGTACTAAGTATAACATATCCATCTTCTCTACTTTTACTTCACTATCTCGCAATCGAACATCAACTAAGCTCACGGCTAATCATGTGGCAAAGTTTTCTAAGCATTTATGTTCTAACTAACCTTGTTATCATTCTTTTATGTATGTGTTACATTTATTTATTTATTTAATGTAAAAGAGTGAATTTTCTTCGTTTTTGTTAAGAAAGAATTGCAAACGTAAATTTAATTAAATATAAATAGATTTTTTATACTCCATACAAAGATTAGTGATGTGGGCCTACCTATTAAGAGAAATGATAAGTATACTTGAGTTTATTGAAGTTATTTTTTTTTTATTAGTCGAATTCTATTCTGTAGTATTCTTGAGGTTGAATTATTAGGCTTTGTTCTATTCAACTTATTTTTGTTGATTTTAAATTAATTTTGCTGAATCGAAACTTTTTTGCTAAATGAAACTATTTGTACTAAACTTAAATTAATCTAATATATCATATCACTAATAAATAAAGCCGACCTCGCATCCAGACTACGAGACAGCAACACAAGGCGAAACGCCAAGTGTCGAGCCACATAGGCGACAAATAGATATTATTGTGATTAGATTTGATGTCAGGTTAGATTAGATTGGATAGATTTGTTTAGGATAAAAAAGTATACATAAAATAATTTGTAATTCTTTTGAAAAAAATTTATCTTTTTATTGACAATAGAATTACTTATACCAACCCACCACATATTATAATTAATATGAATATCCAATTAACAATAGATTTTTACTCCTATATGAATAACTACGTAATTATAATTATAAAAATGGCGTGTATCATTAGTATTTTTTAGTCTACCATTGATTTACCATTAAAGATTTTGAATCAGGTATTCTTCATATTTGGTTGTGATATTAGGACACAACAGAAACTGTAAAATACAAGGGAATCTTGAAGTGAATTCATATCAATGTTAGCAAGGTCTTAAAACTTTACGGGGTTTTCACTTAAAAAGCGTTTCAATAATTTTTTTTATGCTAATCATATTACTATTATTTTTTTTTACCATTCTGCATTATTAAAAGGGTTTATTTGACCATATTTAACATTGAAACAAAAAAGTTTATCCTAAAATTTTATCAACAATACGGACATCACCCCGGACACAAAACTAGTTATATAAATAAAGTAGGCATTTTTCGAGAGCATTCGGCGCGTCACATAAGCAAAGGTATTATTTCGACCAACTAAAAATTAGATTTGTATTTTATTTTAGAATTAAAAAATTAACTCGCTACTTAAGCAAAAGTGCTGAATGAGATTTAAAATTTTGTCACGTTGGTAAAAACAACGAATAGTGATTTATTAGGATTTAAATTATTTAAAAAATAAAAATTATCTTATTAGTATTTAAATTAATTAAAAAGACTACTGTATAAATTATATTTTTGATGTTAGGATTTAAATTATTTTAAAAAATATCTTTTGATATTAATGGTCTAAGAAATTTTGACTTTTGCTACCTCTAAAAAACCACTTATTGGCTTATACCACCTACATAAAAAAAAAAAAAAAAAAAAAAAAAAGGTTTTATTTTACCACCAACTAAATTTCCAAAAATTTGATTTCACCACCAACTAACGGATTCCGTCCATAAATCAGTTAGTAGGGCCCACCTTTTTGACGTTTCCTCTCCACCTCCCCCGATCTTCCATGTGAACCAGTCGGCAACGAAATCAACTCACCTCGGTTGGTCGAAATTTCGTGTGGGGCTAGGGAGGGTCGGAATTTGGTGTTGGCTAAGGAGGGGTTGGAATTAGGTGGTGGCTAGGGTTTTAGGAGTGCGAAATTTGGTGGTGGCTAGGATTTTACGAGTGGTTGGAATTCGGTAGGAGGAGGCTTTATGGGTGGTCGGAATTCGGTGGCTAGGGTTTTGAGATCAGAAATTGGTGGAAAAGGGGTCGGAATCCGTGGCTATGGCTCGTGCGTTTGGGGTTGTGGGAGAGTTGTGGTTGTGCGGTGGCTGCTGTGTGGCAAGTTGGTGGTGGTTGTTGGCTTTGACCGGTGGCAAAGGATGCATGGTGTTTGAGGGGGAATGCGAGTAGGTGGCCGGGTGAAGCAGGAAAGTTAAGAGGAATATGTTGCGGTAGTGAATTTGGTGGTGTGGCTGCTGTGGTGGCGATTAAGGCTTCTGTGCGAGGGTTGCGGCTCCGTTGGTGGAGTGACGTCGGTTTGATGCTGGGTACTGCCACTGTGGTGTAGCGGTGGTGGGCAGTGGCAGCGATGAGGATGTATGGGTGTGAGGTTGGGCTGGTCTGGGCCGCCGATAACGGCGATGGGCGGGGAGCCATACTGACGGTGGGGCTGGGAGCCGGTCAGGCGGTGGCTGGGAGTCGGTTGGTGGCTTGGTTTTTATTTTATTTTTTATTTTTTTTGTTTTTTTATTATTATTTTTTTAAAAAAAAAATTACTCAATAATATGGTGACATGTGTACATGGTAGGCCCCACTAACGGATTTATGGACGGAATCCGTTAGTTAGAGGTGATTGGTGGTAAAAACCAACTTTCATTTTTTTTCTATGTGGTGGTAAAATAAAACTTTTTTTTAGTAGGTGGTAAAAGCGAATAAGTTGTTGGAGGTGGTAAAAGTCAAAAATTTCAATGGTTTATCTAAACATCCGATGAATGAGATGATATTTTCATTAAAAAAAAAATTTAAAGCAATAATGCAAGGAAAAACTTTACATTCTTTTAACACTAGATGAAGCCCATGCGATATACGATTTGTTTGTATTTTTTAAAACTAATTTTTTTTGTATGTATGTGATAAAATTTGTTATTTAATTCGTTGTACGTTACATATCATTTAATTTTTTATTTTAAAATAAATTGTGAATTTCGTCTCCTTCGTTATAAATCTAGATAAAACTCCTATATCTCAAAAGATAATATTTTATATATAATTAATTTAAACTTTAAAATCTCATTCTCCAATTTTGCTTATGTGGCATTTGAATTATTTAATTTTAATTATTATGTGGTTTTTTTGTCTGAAATTTTTAAATAGTAAACAAAATCAAATAATTAAAAAAAAAAATCAAACTAGATGAAAGGAAATTTTTAAAACTAACTAAGTTTTTTTTTTTTTTTTTTTTTTGAGATTTATGTATGAAAAAATCGTACATCGCACGGACTTTCATCTAGTTTTTATTAAAGTAAAATTAATTACACTGAATATACATTATTCTTTATTTTTCTCTATGATATTTGTTTTTTAAAGTTAGTGAATTTTATTGATTAAAAATTATTTATATTAAACTAAAATTATTTTTACTAAATTTAACTTTTTTTACTGTATATTTTTTCAAAGTGAAGAGGTTGGTGTGACTATACTTTTCTATATGTGATTGAGTTTATTATCAATTTATTGGAGTAGAAAAAACCCTAATCATAAATAAACAATTAAACACACATCATCTATCAAGTCACCAGTCACGAATTTTCAATTAATGTATTTCCTTTTAATCTTTTGGCAAATATTTGCATGTTTTGTAGTGATTGTATACTTTATTTACTTGATTTGTATCACGACTTGCCTTTTGTGTTAATATTGTTGGGCTATTAATTTTCCTTTTCTTTGTAAAGGGAAAATAGCACCTCTGAGTAAATCAAAAGAAAATAGAGGGAGTGCACATTTTTCTCAAAAAAAAATTAGTATGGAGTAGGTAACATAATTTTCTCAAATTTTATACCAAAACTAAATTTTAAATGCACAAACATTTAAAAAAATCGGATGTATAATAAAATATTGTACATTCGCTACAAGGTTACCTTAAAATGATCAAAAGTTACCCTTTAATGAATGAAAGTTACCCAGTATATATAAGTTACCCTGATAATAAAAGTTATTTATGCTTTATTGATAAAAATTACCCTAAGTTCAACAAAAGTTACCCCAATGTACAGTAATATTACTGTACATCAGATGTATACAAAAGTTTTTGTTTTAAATGTATATTACAATATTGAAACACTAGGCTTTGTGCAAAATTTTAGGAAAATTATAAAGTGAGACTAAATGAGAAATTTAATAATGTGAAGTGTAGTTGGTGGAAATATATTTAATTGTTAGTACAAGAGAGAAGTTTCAAAAAAAAGTAGTGTAATAAGGTTAGTAGGAGAGACTTGTCAAAAACGGTTAGTAGGAGAGAGATTTAATAAAATATGTGTGCAAGTAAATTTAGTGGAAGTGAGGCATAATTCTTCCTAAAATAATAACGGGTCATCAAATGTTCATTTATTGTGTAATGGACATAAACAAAAAAGTATTGCGATTAATATATGAAATAAAGGGAGTAATTATAGGAGCATGCCATGTGTTGTGCGCTTGTACCTATATTTCCGGACGGAGAGTATATATTTTCAATTCACAAACAAAGTATTAAAGTCAAGAGTCAAAAAAAAGTGATATTTTCTATAGGAAACTAGCTATCTCACTTTATAAGTACCAAAAATCATATTCCTTCCGTTATCTTTATAACTACCTTCATTTCTTATTAACTACAAAAAACAAAAAAAAAAAAAAAAAAATTGTCACAAATAATATCCTTTATTATAAATAATAAAAATCCTTTAAAAAAAAAATTTAATAAAAATGGAGGTAGTATTTTATTTTTGTGTAGAGGTTTAAATACTTCTAAGTTTTGGTTAGGTAGAGATTTGTGGGACCAAATATTTGGAACCTAACAATATAAAACAATTTTACGCAACATTCCAAAAGCAAAAGAAACTGATGAGTGGTGAATGCAGTTTTTTTTTTTTTTTTTTTTTTAGGATAGTTGAAACTTGAAGACCATAAACGTGTTTCGTGTTTTATTGCACAGTAGAGTGGCTATCAAATTCATCAATAAACTCCAATTTATCTCACTTCTATTATTTTTCAGATATAGACAATTAGGACAGCTACCTTGTTAAGAGAAACGAACATGCTTTTCCAGCTATAAATGTAACAAGAATTTCTAGCACAATTTTGCTACTATTTGTATATTATTGAGATATTTAATGATTCAATCTCTATTTTGAATACTACAAAATAATTAATGAGGATAATGTGAATTCCACAAATTATATAATGAAGATAACATGAATTCCACAAATTATTTAATGAAGATAATAATATGAATTCCACAAATCATTTCAAGATATTTAAAGAATATATTATATGGGTTGGTGTGTGCATGTCGTGGAGATCCAAAGATATTTATTATTACTATTTTTATTGTTATTATTTGGGTAGAATAAAATAAAACTGATTTGCATCGTTACGGAGTATCAATCACTACACAAATTCTTATATGTGGTTGGCTACGCCGTGTCCGTGTGTCCAATTATCATAGGGGTTACTTCGTAAGTGTAATAGGGATTACTTGGTCAGTGTTAAAGGGGTTACTTCGTCAGTGTTATAGGGTTACTCGGTCAGTATTATAGGGTTACTCGGTCAATATTGTAGGAGTTACTTGGTCAGTGTTATAAGAGTTACTTTGTTTTTTTTTTTTAGATGGCCACACGGTGTGACTAGCCAAACACATGACGAGCTGATTATGCTAATATGAATAAATTCTGATACCTTGCAACAATATGGGTCAACTTCATTTTAGGGAAATATTATACTCATGAAAAAAATTTAAATGTCTAACCACTGTTTTATTGCTTTCTCATACTTTTTCCAAAATAAATGTTTATATTGAAAAACTAAAATCCCTTTTCCCCCTTTTATTTATATTTATTTATTTATTTATTTTAAACTTTGTGTCATTTTCAAATAATGCAATTATTGAAAAACGGAAGAATGACAAATTTTCGTACAAGACAAATTCAAACGGTTTATTGTAATGTTACACCAAGATGATATTTCCTATTTGAAGGAGAAATTGCATTTTATTTGAAAAGGGAGATCTTTTACATGTGATGAATGATGATAATTTATTGTGCAATTAATTGTATATATGTAGTCGTACTTTATTTACTATCTAATCTTAATTAAAAGGAATGCAGGAAAGAACTTAAATCCATAGGAATTAATAAAAGATTTGAAATTGAGTCTTTGAATTCAAATTCTTCAAAGGTATGGAGCAAACCAAGAACTCCATTATTTTCGGTTGCATAATTAATGATGTAACATTATGAAATCAATTGTGATTGAAAATTTGCAATATAGTAATACCAACAAAAAATTTTCTTACAATAGTTTTAATTTAGAACCTTTCTATTGATCACAAGTTCACAACATGTAAACATACACAATCATAACTTTTAAATAAGAACTATGAAAGAGTTACTTTGCCAATCTTAAGACCATGAAAACATCATAGTCTTTGGTTTATAAAGAGCCATTAAATTAGTGTAATGTATGTAGATGAAATTCGATCCTAAGTTTTGATTATATATGTTCAAACACAATTCAATTCATCTAGCATAATTGTAATTAATATATGTAAATCCAAATAGATGATAATATGATTCAATTAAAAATAAAGTATGAATCAAAATGTAAATTATCATGTAATATAGTTTAATTTCATACCTTAGCATGTTTTTCCTCAGTGGTATCAAGATAAACTCCAACCCTCATATCTCCCGTAAACTTTGTACTAGGCATATAATCTCCAACAAGAATGTCCTTCTTTTCAATAATGTTCATATCAAATAGATGAGAGAAAGATGGAACATCTAAGACAGCAATAACTTTTGGATTAACATCAACAAAGAAAGGGAAGCAAGGAGGGATATTTGTCCTAAACACACTACTATTATGCTTCTCCCTTTTCTTCTTAAAGAAAGTGTCTTGTCCCTGGAACCAAAAGTAGTTTAGCCTATCACCAATTGGACCGAGTAGCGGCACCCCGTAGCTTCCGGGGATGGACCGGAGCGGGAGGTTGCCGCCACTCGGTGGAGGTGTTGGTGTTATGGTGGTCGGGATTGGGTTTGGGGCTGACATGGTTGATATGGTCAGCATTTTGGACCCTTATGGTGTTTGTCGCCTTAGCTTGTTGTGTCATTTTTTATAGTGAAGGAGTAGTGGAGTTGGTTGTTTTTTAATTTGGTTTTGGCTATTTTTTTGTATTTGTATTTTGGTGTAACTTGAATAAATGCGTAGCATGGGATATCTTCAGTGATAAGGCATGGAAAGATATGATTGGACAAGAACGTGGGAAGCTACAAGTTTTCTAGCGAGTTGTACTTCCACGAGTTGTACTCTGCATTATTCATTCCATTCCGCAATAATTCACGCAATATAATAAAAATAAGTTTTAGAAAAAATTGATTGAGATAATCAATTTACTAAATTATTTAGGGCGTGTATGGTTTGATGTAACAACGCATTTGTATGCAGCTTGCTACACATGTGGTTGCTTGTAAACGAACCAAATAACCCTTATAACACTAATCGAGTAACCCTATAACACTAATGAAATAACCCCCATGATGGTTGGTCACACGGTATGGCCAGCCACGTATAAAAGTTGGTGTTAATGTTAAAAATGATATTTGCTTTGTGAAGGAGCTAGTGGATACTAGTTAATTTTTTCAATAATGAAAAGTTACACTCTCGATGGTAAAACATTTTCTTTTACATTTTCAAATAAGGAAAAACACATTTCCCTACCTTCTCCTTACCTCTTTTTTTCTTTCCATTCATTCATTTTGACCTTTCCAATCCCTCCTATTCAATTTTTCTATGACTTTTTTTAGTATGAAAACAAACTAAGTTGAAATAATAATTTTCCTTGAAAATATGTTTTTCATATCAAGTGGAGCCTTGTTAGATTTGTAATAATTATATTTTATTAATATGTAATTTTCATAATTGTGTCTGTAGCGATAAAAAAAAACGCATATAAAATGATGATCTGATCTGAACCTTTTTTTTTCTTGATATGATCTGAACTAATTTCTTGTGAAATAAGTAAATATAAGTTGATCGAACTAAACAAGGCCTAATGGAGCCTTAATGTTAAGTGAGATGGGTGAGAATTAACTAGCTAAAAAGGAAATTAATGCATCTAAATTAAAACTTTCATTTATAGAAAGTGATGCATCTAAAAACATAAAGGAAGTAAAATATTAACAGTCCCTTACTATGTTTATGAGTTCGTCATATATTAAGGAATGGACAATAATGAGAGGTGTATTAGTTATTGCTGAATACAGGAGTACAATAGTAACAAAACTTGATTCATTTGGTAAAACTCTTACCTCGCTTGTGGGGAGTTCTAGGGTGATCAAACTATTTTTTAATCACCATAAGCCTAATTACATGGCACTCTCTAGGCAACAAAAACTAATGTGGTCCCTCCTTATTTTTATTTTTTTTTTGCCAAAATACATTTAATTGATTTTCTAAATTGCTAAAAATGTTTTATAAATCAATATTGAATATTTATGGAAATTGGAATCGCGACCACCGACCACTGCGTCAAGCTGCCGGAGACCGTAGACCACCGCCACTGACCGTAGACCTTCCGGCAACCACCAACCACGCATCCTAACCTGCCGGTGACCCAAGATTGATCTCCGTTGCCCCTAACCGCGCGCGAAATCGCCGGCGACAAAATCCCACGAAACCCTATCTCTAACCTAAAATCCCACGAAATCAGCCCCACCACGGCCCTTCCCCAGCCACGAAATAAGCCCCATCACTTTCCTCCACCCCGAAAACAACGCCCCTCGCTGTTTCGAGGTGGGGGAAAGGGAGATAGGCTGGTTTCGTGGCTGAGGAAGGACCGTGGTGGTTTCGGGCTACCGATGTAGTCGGTGAGTGAGTGCGTCGGGGAAAGGGTGAAGAGAGGGGGTGTGTCGGCCGGCGAGGCAGGCAGGTCGCTAGCGATCTGGGAGAATTCTGGGCGATTAAGGTGAGGGGAGGGGTTGGTTGGCCGGTGATGTTGGTGGTGGTGGTTTTTAATTTATTTTTTTTTCCTTTTTTCTTTTTTTAATCAATTTAATTTTATTTTTTTTCAGGAACCTTTAATCACTTTAGTTAAATTTGTTGTTATGGTTAATTTTTTAGAGTGGTTATTGTTGTTTTTAGTATTATTATTAATTTTTGTTGTTGTTGTTTTTATGATTATGGTTATTTTTTAATTAAATATTATTGTTGTCATTGTTATTTTTTTGTAAAAGAAGTTATTATTACTATAGTGTTTTTTACATAAGCTTAACTAATTATTATTAGATTTGTTATTATTATTGATGTTATTATTGTTATTTATTTATTTATTTTGGAAGAAAGTTGATATTGTTATTGTTATTATTAGTGTTTTTTTCTTACAATGAGCTTAATTAATATGGATATTACCGTTCAAAATTGAGTAGCAAAGCTTTTGGGATAACTAATCAACTTAAATTTAAATTATTTATCAAAATTTTATACATTTTATTGTTTAAATAATGGTTTTGTAATAAGAATTGTAATTATATATTAATACTTTACCCTATAATTGTAATTAGTGACTCACATTAATGATACTTTATAATTTTTTTTGAAGCAACTAATATTATCACTAGGGGTGTTAATCGAGTTGAGCAACTCGAGGTCAACTCGGACAACGCTTGGTCAAAACTCGACTTGAGTTGTCTCGATTCAAACTGTTAACCTTAACGAGCATGAGTTGAGCAAGTTATAACTCGAGTCAATAATTTCGTGAATAGTTCGGTAATTTTATTTTTAATTATGAAAATAAAAAAATCATATAAATTAATTTTGTATTTCTTTATAAAGAAGTTATTAATTAGTTTTATGTCCATGACTCACTCCCATTTTATGTTCAAAGAGAAATTAATTAAATGGTGATAAAATACTCTGTACAAAGTAGGCAATATTGAATACGATTAAACTAGTGAAATAATATAATGAGAAGATGAGATAGAAAAATCTAGTGAAATAATGTAATAAGAAAATGAGATAGAAAAATGATAGATGTTAACATCTAAAATTGATTAGCAAAGCTGATGGGATAACTATCAACTTAATTTAAATAATTTTATACATTTTATTGTTTAGATAACAATTATTTAATAAGCATTACTGTTATGTTAATACTTTATTCAAGAAAAATGTTAATTAACTAATGAATAACATTACTAATACTTTAGAAATTTTTTAAAGCATTTAATATTATTACTAAGGGTGATAAATTGAGTTGATCATCTTGAGATCGACAAATCGGCTCGGTCAACGTTCAGTCAAAACTCGACTCGAGTTGTTTCAACTCTTCGTAACCTTAACAAGAACTAGTCGAGCAAGTTTAACTCGGCTCGATAAGCTCGTGAGCATCTCCATAATTATTTTGATTAATTGTGAAAAGAAAAAAAAAAAGCATAGTTAAAAAATAATGTGGTACCTCTATAGAAAGAAGCTATTACTTATGTACACAACTAACACATTTTAAATTTAAATGATGATGAAATATTTTTGTATAAGGTAGACAAGAATGGTTAGGATTAAACAAATGAAACAATGTAATGGGAAAAAGGAGGAAGAAAAAACTATTTATATAGAATAATTTTGTTGAGCAATACTTATGTCCACAACTAACACATTTTAAATTTAAAGTAAAATTAATTAAATGATGATGAAATATATTTGTATAAGGTAGACAAAAATGATTAAGATTAAACAAATGAAATAATGTAATGGGAAAAAGGAGGAAGAAAAAACCATTAATACAGAGTAATTTTGTTGAGCAAAAAGATTTGCAAAAGTCCCACATTGAAAAAAAATTGAGAGTACTTACATGGAGAGGTTATAAAAAGAGAAATTTAGCCTCTTTTCAATAGTATGAATAACTTGGCTCCTATTTAAGGCTTGGGTTATTTAAACATTGGCTTTATTTAATAAGTTTGGGCCAAGCTTGTTTGGGCTTGAACTTTATGACTTTATCTAAATTTTTTTTTATTTTTTTTAGCTATATATAAAGTTACGAAAAAACCCAGTTTAAATGGTAATTACCTAGATTGTGGTTGGACATTACTTAAACCTAGTTTTCTTGGTAATTACCAAGATTGTGGTTAGACATTACCTATTGGCTATATATATATATATATATATATATATATATATATATATATATATATATATATATATATATATATATATATATATATATATATATATATATATATATATAAGAGGGTTTTAGTCGAGTTGATAATTTGAGTACCTTTTTAGAGAGAAGCTAGTGCTTTATGTCCATGACTCGTCACATTTTAAATTTAAAGGGAAATTATTTAAATGAGATGATATATTATTGTACGAAGTAGGCAATATTGATTAAGATTGAACAATTGAAACAATGTAACGAAAAGAGGATAGAGAAAGATGTGGGAGAAAAAGCTAACCATTTATTAATTTTGTTAAGCAAAGTGATTGCTCAAATCCCACATAAAAATAAATAAACAAAGATGAGTATTAATTAAAATTGGTTATAAAAAGCAAAAATCATGTCAAACTTTTACTTAAGTCTCACATTGAAAATTAAATGAGTACAATGAACATGGAGAACTAGTTATTATTATTATTATTAGGGTATTATTAGGGTCATTATTGAGAAAATCAATGTTTATAAAATGGTATGCCATAAATTTTGTAAACAACCAATTTTTGTAAATATATACTAATCGAATTGAGTAAATCCAGGTTGACTCGGTAATAACTTGACTCAAGTTATTTCGTCTCAAACTCATAACATTAATAACCGCGAGTTGAGCAAGCTATAACTTAGCTCACCTTGGTATTTCTTTTTATTAATTATTAAAAATGGGTTCTAATTAATAATTTTGGGCCCATGTTTGCTTTGGGCTTAAACTCAAATTTAGCGCATATTCTTAGATGCACCCTTGTGCATCTAAACTGGCTGCACCACTCATCAAATACCCCCTTTTATACACTAAACACACATATATACTATGTACGTACTACTGGAAACTGGTATATATTACTTCATCTCCTTCCTTTAATCTTCTTCCTATTTTATTTCTTTCCTTATTTCTTAATTTTTACATAAATTTTTTCTCTTTTTTCCAAATTCTTTACTTAATTCTTAATTTTGGTTGAAATTTTCTCTCTCCACTGTGTTTGGCATTATCTTCTTCTTTTAAGATTTTCTCTCTCCTCCAATTTTTGTATTTTCGTTGATTCGTGATGGATTTAATTGGAATCTTGAAGT